CCCAAAATCCCTATGGAGAAATCTCAAAAGAGTCCAAGTGGCAGACTGTTTGTCTCTGTTGCTGAGTTTTAGGAATTCTTTATATACTCTGGATAGTAATCCCCTATTGAATATATGAATCCCAAATATCTTCTCCCATTCTGTGTGTTGTCTTCACTGTCTTGATAGTATGTGCTTTGATGTACAAAAGTTTCAAAGTTTGATGAAGTCCAATTTCTGTATTTTTTTCTTATGTAGCTTGTGTTTTTTGGTGTCATATCTAAGAAACCACTGCCAACTCCAGGTCATGACGATGTACCCCATTTTCTCCTAAAAACTTCATAGCTGTAGCTCTTACATTCAGATCTTTGATCCATTTGTTAGTTTTTATATGGTGTGAGGTAAGGGTCCAACTTTATTCTTCTGTATGTGGATGTCCAGTTTCTCAGCAACATTTGTTGAAAACACTGTCCTTTCCCACTGAACTCTTGTCACTCTTGTTGAAAATCATTTAATCATATATGCAAGTGTTTATTTCTGGGCTTTCTATTCTGTTCCATTCTTCTACATATCTTTATGTCAGGACCATACTACAGTTTTATTGACTGTAGCTTTGCAGGTAATGTGAGTCCTCTAACTTTTTTTTTTTTTCAAGATTGTTTTGCTATTAGGGAACACTTGCAATTTCATATGAATTTAAGGATCAGCTTTTCCATTTTTGAAAAAAAGAGGCTGCTGATATTTTGATAGGAATTATGTTGAATCTATATATAGATAACTTTGGGTAGCATTGATATCTTGTCATAGTTCCTATCCATGAACAGGCTATGTTTTTTTCATTGGTTAAGTTATCTCTAATTTCTTTCAGCAATGTATTGTAGTTTTCAGCATACAAGTCTTTCACTTCCTTGATTAGATTTAGTCCTAAGTAATTCTTTTAGATGTTATCATAAATGGAATTATTGTCCTAAATGACTCATTGCTGGTGTATAGAAACAGAACTGATTTGTGTGTATTTGCAACTTTGCTGAATTCATTAGTTCTAGTAACTTTTTGGTGGATTCATTGGCATGTTCGCTATATGTAGGATCGTGTCACTGTGAATAGAGATACTTTTACATCTTCTTTCCAATGTGAATGTCTTTTATTTCCTTTTGTTGTCTCTAACATCTCTGACTAGAACTTCCAGTGCAGTGTTGAATAGAAGTAACATAAGCATGCACTCTTGTCTTGTTCCTGATCTTTCACCATATTGAATGATGTCAACAGGTTTTCCATGAATAACTGTTTTTCATGTGGAGGAATTTTCTCTCTATTGTAGTTTTCCAAGAGCTTTTATCATGAAATGGTGTTGGATTTTTTGAAATACCTTTTGATCAAGGTAGCTTTCCCCCCATTTTTCTGTGAAAGTGATGATATTTGTGGATTTTCTCATGTGGAGTCACCTTTGCATTCCCTGGATCAATCTCACTTATTTATGGTGGGTAACCCTTCTAATACGCTATTGGATTCTATTGGTTAAAATGTTGTTGAAATTGTCGTGTCTTCGGATATTCATCAGAGATACTGGCCTATAGTTTTCTTTTTCTTTCTTTTTTTTTTTTTTTAAGATTTCCTTTATTTATTTATTCATGAGAGACACAGACAGAGAGAGGCAGAGACACAGACAGAGAGAGAAGCAGGCTCCATGCAGGGAGCCTGACGTGGGACTCGATCCAGGGACTCCGGGATCACACCCTGAGCCCAAGCCAGGCGCTAAACCACTGAGCCTGTAGTTTTCTTGTGATATCTTTACCTGACTTTGGGATCAGGGTAATGCTGACCTCATAGAATGAGTTAGAACATATTCCCTCCTCTTCAATTTTTTGGAAGTATTTGAGAAGGAGGCACATCTACCCTTGCAACCTCTAAATATGGGCACATTCCCCAGTTCAATCATGGCAACCTCTTCCCTTTTGTCTGCACATTCAGTCCCACATCTCTAAACACCTGTGTGTGTGGGTATGTCCAGCTCTGTGTTCCCAGCCTGACCTGTGCTCTCAGCCCAAGTTCAGGCACCAGTCAGCACATCCAATACGTCTAACAAATGTCTCGACGTCAACATGCTCTCCTCCCCAGCCTGCTTCTCCCTGAGTCTCTCCCACTTTAGCACATGGGGCGAGCCTCCCCACCTGCTGATCAGGCCCCCAAACATTGAATTGCTGTTTTGGTGCTGATTCTCAACTGCAGATACCAGAATCTACTGTAGCTTAGTTAAGCAGTAAGGGATGAACTAGAAGATATTAGGGAGATTATAGCATCTGTGTGAGGGTCAGGTAAACAGGAACATGCAGCAATGTTGGATAAACACCCAATTGTACTGGAGAATTGTTTTAGGGAACCTCCCCACAGCCCTGTTTCCTTCTGCTCAGCACCATAGCTGCCAGGGATGAGACCAAACTGCCTCAGATGAACCAAACACCTCCAATGCCAGTCTGCTGTGAGAGTCCCTAGTCCCTGTGGTTTCTTCCACATTTTATGTGGTGCATGTATTAGCAAAACCAAGCACATCTTCCCTCAGATGCAAGGGATCTGAGACACATGGTTTCGCAGTTTCCGGCTTTTACATGCGGGAGAGTATGCTAGCGGGGGCTGTGGTCCTCCCTGGCTGTTCTTTCCCTGATTCTCCAGGGATCCAGCATCAGTGGGTTCTCTCAGCTTTCTCTACTATTACTGTGGAAACTTCTCACAACCTCAGTGGCTCCCACCTCAACCCAGCCATCACTCTCATTGAGACTGTGGCAGTTGTTTCCTGATAGATCTCCCTTCCAGCTGTGGTCTCCACACTGCAGCCAGGGTGACATGTTTGGAATGTAAATCAGATAACCTCATTTCCTTCCCAAACTCTCTCCACAGTGGTTTCTCACAACACTCAGAGTAAAACAAAGCTCATCACCATGACCTATTTATTCCTGCAGCATTTCCAATCTCAGTTGCTTTGCATCTGCTCTCCTTCACCATGCTCCCAGGTACAAAGCCTTCTCCAAGCACGCCAGAACCATTCCCACCCCAGGGCCTTTGCACACATGGAAGTAACAACCAGATCCCACAGAACAGTCTTCTGTTCCTTGTATAGTCTTCTTTGCCTGGACCATCTGCTTTATTGAGTTCTATTCTCTGTTCATTGGTTTATTGTTTGGCTCCCTCCATTGGAATGTCAGCCCCCCAGGGGCCTGACTGGGCCATGCAGTGACAGGCCAAAAGTCAGTGATTCATGAGTACTTTTGGAATAAATCAAGCCATCTCAATAGTCCAAATTTTTGGGAAAACTTAGAAAACACATTTGACTCTATGGATACACACAAAGAAGGACCCAGATTCTTAAAAACTGGCTGTTCCTGTGCAGGTACAAGAGGTGTGGCACACCTGCAGGCTCCAAAGTCTCCCCAATGAGAGTGAGATTCCAGGGCTGCACCCTGACCAGGTATCCAGGACACTGCTGACTCCCTTCTGAGGTCAGCCTCTGGATCCTGGAGGAGCTGACCAGGAACAAAGCTTCCTGCTCTGGAGGCATGCCAACATTTCCAAGTTCTGTCCTGGTGCTTTGGGACCACGCGGGTTTATAAAGAATGGCTCCTATTCCTGCAGCAGCATGGGCAGGACTCCTGCAGGGAGAGGAAGTGAGAGGAGGAGGAGGCAGGGATGGCGGGGAGGGGGGGACGGGGGGGGGGCGGTGGGGGGCTTCAGGGACTGAAGAACACCCAGGTGCCCAAGCACCAAGACAGGGCTGGAGGTTTCAGGAAGCAGAGTGGATGAGTGAGTCAAGGGACAATCAGAACAACTCAAATAAGTCAGTGTGATGGTTAAGGGAGGGCAACCCATCCCAGCCTCCTTCAACTTGATTCATTCTGTGACCTGTGGCCAGGAGACTTTATGTTCCAGAGCTGGTTATTTATCTGTGCACCTCAACTTTATCCCTAAATGAGCACATTTGATCTGCACTGGGTGGTATGGCAAAGTGCCCATATTTCTAGTCAGGACACAGTGCAAGGTGAGAGACCCTTGGGCGGGTCTCTCTGTTAGACATCCCCCGCCCCCCAGCGAGGTTCTCCTGGCATCCCATCAGCCAATATGCTCACTTGAACGGGAAGAGAAAGCTAGTCCACTCACGCCAGTGTAAATCAGGTACAAGTCTCTTTACACTGGGGAACTCAACATCGGAAGGTCTTCCCGAGCAGAAATCAGGGTCCAGAAATTGGAATCAGAATCAGCTCCCCAGCCACTGGTCTGAGAATGCAATCCCAGGTCCCGAGGCTTCTTGGAGGCTCCTGAGAACAAAAGTAAAAGCAAACGCCCCACTACCACGCCCCCCTGCCTCGCGGGGAGGAGCCCAGCGCTCCCGGCCCCCACTACCGCCCAGGTGAGGGCACCTGCGCGCTGGTGCGCCTGCGGGAGGTGAGAGCTGCGCCTCCGCCCCGCAGTCTTCCCAGCCCGTCCGCCCCACAATGAGGGTGGAGGGGGTCTGCCCCGCCGGGAGGGGGTCTGCAGGGGGAGGGGGTCCGCCCCGCGGGGAGGAGGTCTGCAGGGGGAGGGGGTCCGCCCCGCAGGGAGGGGGTCTGCAGGGGGAGGGGGTCCGCCCCGCGGGGAGGAGGTCTGCAGGGGGAGGGGGTCCGCCCCGCAGGGAAGGGGTCTGCAGGGGGAGGGGCTCCCCCGGCAGGGGTCTGCAGGGGGAGGGGGTCCGCCCCACGGGGAGGAGGTCTGCAGGGGGAGGGGGTCCGCCCGCAGGGAGGGGGTCTGCAGGGGGAGGGGCTCCCCCGGCAGGGGATCTGCAGGGGGAGGGGGTCCGCCCCACGGGGAGGAGGTCTGCAGGGGGAGGGGCTCCCCCGGGGCAGGGGTCTGCAGGGGGAGGGGGTCCGCCCCACGGGGAGGAGGTCTGCAGGGGGAGGGGCTCCCCCGGGGCAGGGGTCTGCAGGGGGAGGGGGTCCGCCCCGCAGGGAGGGGGCCTGCAGGGGGAGGGGGTCCGCCCCGCAGGGAGGGGGTCTGCAGGGGGAGGCGCTCCCCCGGGGCAGGGGATCTGCAGGGGGAGGCGCTCCCCCGGCGGGGAGGGGTCTGTCCCTCGCAGAGGAGGGGCGCTCTCCGGGGCAGGGGTCCGCCCCGCGGGGGAGGCTCCGGCGGGCGGGCGGGGCGCCGGGAGGGAGGCGCTGGGCAGTGTCCTTCACCGGAACGTTTCCTCCGAGGTGGGACAAAGGCGGCGCCAGCATGGCTCTCAGCGCGGCGCACAAAGGCTCCGGCGGCGGCAAGGTAGGGGCGGCGGGGAGGGCTCCCGAGGGCCGGCGCTGCGGGAGGGGAGTCGCTTAAAGACCAGTTTAGCGCCCCTGGGCCTCAGGCGGAGGAGCTCGGGGGAGCCGGGTCAGCGTTCGCGCGGCCGAGGGGTGCAGGGGCGGGTGTGAGGGAGCGCACCTGCAGGGGGGCTGCTGCGCCCCCGGCTTCGTCACCCGCCGCGGCCGCGGGGACCGGCCCAGGAACGGCGGCGCCGCTCACTCGGGCGGCTGGGACGCGAGCGCACGGCCGGGCTGACTGTTCTGTCGGAGCTGGGTCGGCGTCGGGGCGGACGGGGCCCGGGGGACAGCAGCGTCCTTTCAGGGTGGGGGAGGTGGCTAGACGCGGCTCTGGGTCTCTTCGTGGGAAATGCAGGAGTGTGTTGTCCGTCTCCTCTTCCTCCTGCGAAGCTGGATTACAGAGCTTTGGGTGTAATAACTACGCTCTACTCCTGTTACCAGCAGCACTTTAACTTCAAGAGTTCAGTTGGTACTTTCAGGTGTCTAATTAAGAATGAAAACCTATAATTAAAAAATTAAGTTAAATGTAGTTGAAACTGTGCGTAATGAATAGCTTACGACTCTGCTGCTCACCCTAACCCGAGCTGAGCTCCGGGCAGGGCTGTGAGCCCCTGGAGGAGGTTCTCCGCTTCAGGTGCAGAGTTCAGAGTGCCCCTACTGAGGTCTGGCTTCCTGGAACCCGCTTGGGAGGCCCCGGGATCTCTGGAGGCGGAAGGACCTCGAGATGTCACTCTTTGGTCTCAGTGAAAATACACTCGGACTCTGAGATCCTGTACAGCAACAGGTTTCCATCCACGGTGGGATGGTATCTGTGTTGGCTGCGCTGGGCGTCTGCTGACACTGAGGTAATAAACCCACTTCTGATTCTGAGGCAGCACTACATTTTAACCTCACTGTGCTTTAGGGGACAAGTGGGTGGCCAGGTGGGCCTGGAGAAGACAGCCCTGAGCTTTCCAGTGGGCGGCTGGCCCTGGATACCAGCCAACCTGTGATTATCAGGACAGCCTTCAGATTCTAAGCCATTCATGTGGGCCTGGTCTGAAATGGCCTTTGTGAACCATGGGCCTTTGTGTCTGTGGCAATCCTGGGTGGTCTCCAGTGAATGCTATATTACTTGTGAAGCATCCCAAAAATGTCTGTCTAAGGAAATAAAATCGGCCCTGAATTTGCCCGAGGCTCTCTGAGATGTGTATTCACTGGTTGTATCATCCAACCAAACACAGGAAACCCCAGATTCCCAGATCTCAGCGTTTTTGGTGAGAATAATTCAAGCCCAGTTCACATGCCACCACTTCCCTCCTTCCTCAGAACCTGCTAGTTACCCATTTCACAGCCAAGAAGCAGCCCTGAAGCAGTGGTTTTCCTGTCCACACAGCTGTGCCCTGCAGCAGTGAAGCCCTACTCAGGATCAGTCAGTTCTGGCAGCCTCCTCCCCTCTGTCCCTCCATCCCTCTATCCCAGGTGCTCACTGATCCAGCAGATAAGAGTGAGCCCAGGGAGATGGTGGGTCTGACCTAAGGGCCCAACTGACACTCCTGAGAGGGTGGGGGGCAGAGGCGTGGGCGGAGAGGTGACATATCCTGTCCTGTATGTGTTGATCCTAAGGCAGCTTGAGAATCTGCAGTCCTGTGATAAGAAGGCATCCTGCCACAGCCTACAAGGGCTGTGGATGGTAGGTGCCTGTGGCGTGAGAAAGAGGCTCTGGACCCTGACGTGGAGCCTGTGGGACAGACCTGGGATCTTGGAAATTTGATGTGCACCCACATCTACCCTCTATTAGCTGTGGCCCTTTGGCTTTGTAGTTCAGCCTCTCTGAGCTTCAGCCTGTTCATTTATGGGAATAAGACATGGCCTTCCTACCGCAGAGTACCATATGGGTTCACTTTAAAGACGGATGTGTAGACGCTTCCTGGAAGGTAACCTGGCTCATCATTCAGTGCCCCTAAATTGAAGACTTCTGTACTGAGAGCTAGAATGCCTTGCCAGGTGTTTCTAGGCTCCTCAGTTCACAGCTAGGCCGAAATTCTTAGAGAGCTTTCAGATACTGTCAGACGAGTGTCTGACCTTACAGAATTTTTCCCAACATTGAGAAAATCATACCGTGCAAAAGATACTTTGTGGTAAATTTCTTTTACATGACTTTAAGACATCTTATTTTTCTACGACCTGAAAACAGGGATTAAATCTAATGCCTACAGCAATCTGGGACATGAATTAATTTGAAGTTCTGCACCAGAGTTGTTCAGGTCACTGAGGTAGGAAGTATGTGCACTTCCCCCAAAGAAATACCACCTGTCTGCAGCTCCCCAACCGAGAGACCCCCAACCCTGCTACGCATCATCCTCAGAAAGCTCCTCTGGTCATCCTGCCTGGACCTCCTCTACAACCACACACCCGCAACCCATTTCCTGCTTGGCTTTGCCATGAGAGGGCCTCCATGGGAGAGTCTGAGCCAATATCACCTCGTGCTTGATCTTTGCCGAATGCCTGTCTTCTCTAGTGCTTATAACTTAGTACATGGCATAACTCGGCAAATATTTGTCACATGATGGTTACCCTCCCCCTCTTTCAAAACTCATTTTCATTCCCCTGCCCAGCCCTGACCTTCTGTGGGCCACACAGATGCAGTGCCTGCCCTGTGGGATGCCGGTCTACTGCTTCCCACCCGATCCAAGCTGACACCACTGCCTATGACTTTCAAGAACAAAAACAACATCCTCAGATGGGAGCAGTTGGATTACAGTTGCATCTGGGAAACCTTGTTCATCTACATGTGATATAGTTAAAGCAGGTCCAAGACAGTTATAGGGAAAGGTTTGACCAGATCCCGTGTGAGGTAGTGAAGGTGCTCTGTGTGTGTGTGTGTGTCTTGGGGTGGGGACAGTGGTGCACAGAGCAGAAGAGATGCCTGAATTAACTTTAAATGAATGGAAAGGACAGGCTGGAGAAGGATGACCCATCCCTTCACTGCCCAGTTGGGGAATCATAAGGTGCTTTCGCCTGCAGAGTGAAGAATGCGGAGGGACGCTGGGATCTTTTGGCTCTGTCTCTTGCTAGGATGAGACATAGGCACCACGGCTGAGGGTTCATTGGTTGGGGATGCATGCTCTGCAGCCAGAGTTCCAATCCTGGTTTCCCCACTGAGTGAGTGGGCAGACAAGCCCACAGAATAGGGATGATAATGCTATAATAATGTGCTTAAAACAGTGTCTGGTTAGGGGCGCCTGGGTGGCTCAGTCAGTGAAGCATCTGCCTTCAACTCAGGTCATGATCCAGGTTCTGGGATCCAGCCCTGAGTCAGGCTCCCCCCTCAGCAAGAAGCCTGCTTCTCCCTCTCCCTCTGTTGCTCCCTCACCCCTCACCCGCACTTGTGCTCGCTCATGCTCTCTCTCTTTCCCTCAAATAAAAAAGTCTTTTAAAAGGAAGCATCTGGGATATAGTAAGTGCTCAATAAATGTTAGCTATTACTTTGTGATTCTATGACAGAGAGGGAGAAAGGTTTTCCTGCAAGTAAGAGATAAAAAGGATTGAGGTTTTTTTGTTTTGTTTTGTTTGCTTTTTCCCCCAAATCACTTAAGGAAAAATATCCAGTGAAGTTATCTTCAGGGTATTTTGGCGCTCAAAGATACCACCAGGAAGAGGAATTACAATTATAATTATATACTGTTTTAACAATATAATTGGGTATTTTTTAAAGAAATTTTTGTAGAAGTGCCAAATCAATAGGCCATGGACTCCACTTGAGTTCAAGGGTTCCATAGCTTTCCTTATGGATTATTCAGAGAGACTAAAGAACACATCATTGGGATTCAGTTAGCCTAGAGCACCGCACTAGGTAACAGTGAGCATTTAGTTCTCAAACTGATATTTGTGTGTTCAGAGACTGTGACCTTCAGAGACCCAACCCAGAGGATCTTGATGACCAGCGATGGGGTCAGAATATAACCTCTCCTGAAACCACATGGGAGAGCTGGGAGGGTAGGGCAAGAGTAGCAAATGAGGGAAACAGATACTAGCACAGTTTCTGAAAAGTTCTGGAACTTTTTTTTTTTTTTTTAAGATTTATTCCTTTTTTTGAGAGAGCGAGAAAGAGCATGAGAGCACAAGCAGAAGTGGAGAATCTCCAGCAGACTACTCGTGGGGCACAGAGCCTGAGGTGGGGCTCAATCCCACAACCTTGAGACCATGACCCAAGCTAAGACCATGACCAAACCAAAACCAAGAGTCAGATACTTAGACTGAGCCACCCAGGCACCCCTGGAACTAATTTTTTAAATAGTAATTTTCGATGAAATTCACATAGCATAAACAGTTTCTTTTTTTTCTTTTTTTTTAAAACAGTTTCTTTTTTTTAAAAAAGATTTTATTTATATATTCATGAGAGACACAGAGAGAAGGTAGATAAGAAGCAGACTCCCCGTGGGGAGCCTGATGCAGGACTCGATCCCAGGACCCCAGGATCATGGCCACAGCCGAAGGCAGATGCTCAACCACCGAGCCACCCAGGCACCCCTACAATAAACGGTTTCAAAGCAAACATTTCAGTGGCATTTAATACATTCCCAGGGTTATGCAGCCACTACCTCTGCCTAGTTCCAAAACATCTCTTTTACCCTGAAATAAAGCCCCACATTCATGTAACAGTTCCTCCCCATTCCACTCTCTGCCAGCCCCTGGAACCACTAGTCTGCCCTCTGTCTCAATGGATTTACGGACTCTGAATATTCCGCATAAATGGAACCATACTGTGTGTGACTTCCTTGTTGTATTGAAATATATATAACATACACTTTATACATACAAACCAAACATCATCACAAACCCTTCTGTCCTGTGACTCTGAAACTCTGTCACTATTAAACAGTGACTCCTATTCTTCCCCTAACCCCCAGCCCCTCGCTGCCAACATTTTACATTCTGTCCTCATGGTTGTGACTGTGCTAAGGACCTCATATAGTTAGA